GAGTAATCTATAATTATCGATTAGAACCTGATTTGCAAAGCGCGAGTACCCAAGATTCTAGCACGTTCATATTTGGTCATGTACTTTGATGTTTTACGACTAACTTTGTCATTATCATCTCGGTCGTCTTTATCTTCACCTTCGATAGGATCGATCGGAACATCATCGTTATTATTGTTTTCCACATCCTCCTCGGCTCCTTCCTGTACAACAAAAAACCAAGACAGATAACTTTATCACTCGCATTAAATTTCTTTCCTAACAAACAGTGTAAAAAGATATCGGAAAATGAAAGATTCTCACTTCAATCTCAGGCTCTGCTGGCTCATCTTCATATCTGTATCAACAAGTTGCGCAACCAAAACACACAAAGAGCTCTAAATTAAACAATAAAGACTAAGGCAAAGAACAAACGACTTTTTAATTGTCTGATATGATTACAATCTAATATCTGATTAAAATTCTTTTGATCTATCGATAATGAACACATTCCGTAGAGACAATAACTCGAATAAAAGCAACATTTTCTTTTATTGTTGAATCACGATCCCGGATTAATAACTTAAAACATCCAATTTGAGATTTCTTTTATTTGTCCAAACTTCAATAGAAACTAGAAAATCCAGTCATCAAAATCAATGAAGATAAAATATAAAAAGAGGAAGATAGAGAACCCCATATCCATATCATTATAGTCATCGTCAGCCATTGTTGAGATTTTGCCGAAGCTTGGTGAGTGTCAACTCTTCAAGTCCGCGCCGTGAAGATTTAATTCCTTTGTAAAAGCCCTAATCCAAACATTGCTGGTTTATAAAAATCAATCGTCCGTATTTATAGCCGGGTTTTAATTTTTGACTCAAACAAACCATTGAGCTTAATTTAAAAAGGTGAAAATAACTTTTGGTCTTCACTTTGGCTTAATTATGCAATTTAATTCTTATTCTTTTTGTATTGCAATTGGATCCCTACTTTTGGCATTAAGCTACAATTTGGTCCCTCGCCTTTTTTGGGGGTGCAATTTAGCACTTGAATTTTGGCTTTGGTATATAATTTGACCTATTATTTTGACATTGATTTTAATTTCAATTTAAGTTTAATGTGCATCATCAACGAGATTTCGATTTGAGGTGGATTGATGGAGAATTTTTCTAAATAGTATGGCGTGATTATAAGACAATATCAATTTAGAATCTTTCTTTTTTAATCATTAAAAATATGCATGCATCTTGCATACGCAAGCTACTCGAAATGTCACTAATGAGCTTTGGGACAAGTGGTTGGGATTTAGGAATATGAGCTTGTAAGGTCAGGTTCGAATCCTACCACCATCACTCTTGGTGGTCAATCTGTAAATTCATATATAAATCCCAATTGAGTTTTAAGTATGCCATGACCTAGACTGGGTGAGCCACCCCTGACCTAAACTACTCAGCATGTCATACATTATAAAAATCATGTTTCACACCCATATTCATAGTGACATAATCACAATCATAATATCATATAATAGAATGTAATAATGCTAGATCTTATGGCATGCGGCTTATACATGAAGACTCTAACTTGATTATAAGAGAGATTAGTATTATTCATCATCAATATCTGTGTCATAGCATAAAGAATCATTATTGGCATAGGAAGATAGCACAATTTATCTTGATTCATCATATCATAAGATTTTTCCGTCATTGTTTTTCATGTCATAAGTCATTATATCTAATCTTATAATATTTCTTAACGTATAAGGCGTTCGTACTGAACAATGAACATTCCATTTTCACACAACATGACTGTTATCGAACGTATCCTACAAGTGGCATTGCAATCAAGAAAATCACACCTATTCACAAGTCGATCACTCAATGGAAGTCCACTTGATAGACTAAGGTCTTTTTGTAAAACAATTAAAGTTTTAGGAGCAAAACTATAAATTTCAAGAATATTGTTAAGGTATTGATACCTTAAAAATTTATTGGCACCTTTCATAGCTTAATGTTTTTAAAAAATACTGAAAAATGATTTCGATATCAATACCTTAGGTTAGATATTAATAATGAACCTTAATTATCGATATCTACAACTAAATATTGATACTCAGTAACGATATTTTTAATTAAATATTAATATTTGGGCTTTACATATAGATACTTTATTTTGGTATCAATATTAAAAAGCACAATTTGATGTTTTAAAAAATCAAATTTATTCAACAAATATTGATACCTTGAATAGGGTATTAATACTAATATCCAAGTGAGAACTGATCATAATATTAGATGTCACATTAGTCATCTAAGTGATTCAAATATGAGTTTATGATTTAGGGGCTTTATAAAAACACGTTTAAACAAAAAATTTAATTAGCATACGAATAACACCTAATACACTATCAAAATGACCATACCACTATATTAAATATGAGAACTAAATTGATTTAAATCTAAACGATCCTAAAGGTCATACAACTCTATTTTTTAATTAACGTTTACACATCATTGAGATTATTACATAAATAAAGCATACAATATAGTGATTAGGGAACACTCATTGTAATTCAAGCTTAAAACTAAGCTAAGTAAATTAAGTCGAACATAGGGGAAAATCTATTTTAAATCACACACTTTTTTTTTAATTAATCACTGGTATCCGATCTATTGACCAACTAATCCAGATCGGGACTGCAGAGGCGAGGGTAGCCCTCCCAACCCAGTTTGCTCCATTCGCAAACGCTAGGATTTAAACCTCTGACCTTGCTTAAGAGACCTAGTGCCTCATCCCACTAGACCAACTAGTTGGTTAAATCACACTCTTTTAATTCATGCTCAATATATGAAATTATCACCACTTACCAACTTAGGATTATGTATTTTAGTGATATGCAAAACTATAGCTCAAACATGTTTCAAATTCTACTCCAATTACACAAGCATGGTATACTAAGAAACTAAATCATAAGCTTGTAAATAATACTTTTATCGATATGCTCTTATTAAATTTTTGGTTCATGAACAAACTAAAGTTGCAATAAGTTTACTACTAAAATGCTAGCTTAATTCCAGTTTGAGTTCACTTCCAATTTCATTTGTAAAATATGAGGATTATTTAACAAAATATCTCTCGTTTAAGTACCATAGATTAAAAAAACTAACTTTAGGGGCTTTTAAAGACAATTTATATCAAATTTTCATGAATTTAAAAATGATGAATCAATTTTCCCCCCGAGGAATCAATATTTTTAGCGAAAATATCAATCCATTTCTCTAACAGATCTTTGATTTTACTCCCGAATTTACTATCTAATAATATTTACTCCACGATTTTAAAGAATTAAAACTCATAGTTTGAATTGAATTCACTTAATTTTTTATTCGTATTATCATAGTGTTAAATTTTATTGAATTGTTATATTATTTCAAATGGAAATAAGTATCTGGTAAAAAATTTAAATATTGATGGTTTATTGAATTATTTTAAATTATGGTAAATTTAATCAAATGTGTAAATTTTAAGGAGTAAACTCATTATTGTACCATACCACATTTTTCAATTTTGTCAATGATGAGCAAAACTCGACAACTCAAAAAAAAAAAATACAATTTCTAGTTATTCGAATCAAGTTATTTGACAACTTGACTTATTGATACGATTTTCAATTTCGATTCGAGTTGAAATTTAAAAATTTCGAGTTCCTCGAAAAACCAAAAAATTTGATGATTATCTTGACAACTTTATGATTTAGTTTTTGATTTCTTATTTACCAATTCCTCCGTTTTAAGTTTACTTTTACAAAATTTGAACCACGTGCTCCTAAACTATTGTAGAATACCTATGTGCTTTCAATTACTTTTTTATAACAATTTTCTTTATTTTTCAATTTAGACCCTCAACTTTTCATGATTTATTTATTTCTTCAATTCATCATTCATTTTAAGTCTATCTTTTTACCCAATTTGAATCGCATGTTCCTATATTACTATAGAATACCAATGTAACTTTGATTCCTATTTTTTTTACTAAAAATACACTCTCTTTTTTATTTAGTCCCTTAACTTTGCATTTTACTCAACTTGATCTTTTTACTATAATTGTTTACAAATTCTTTCCTGTCATTAATTTCTTAACTCTTTTATATTCTCATCAATATTTTACCCTCGAAATATCTTGTTTAAAGTATAAATTATAAATATATTTTATAATTTTATATTATATTTGATATATTAAATAACATTATAACGAAAAAAAAATGAATATATATATAAATTGGTGATGGTATGATTTCTATTGAACCAAAACTATACAAAATAAGATAGACATGTGCCTCATTATAAAAAAAAAACCTCCTTATTTTTAATTGGAGGAAAAAGAGTGCATGATGTCGGTCTAAACAATGGAGGGCAACCATCAATCTCAAGTCATAAACATGGTTAGTACACACTCCAATTGTATACTATCATCAATATTTTACCCTCAAAATATTTTATTTAAAATATAATATTATAAATATATTTTATAATTTTAAATTAATTTTTATATATTAAAAAATATTATAACAAAAAGAAAACGAATATATATATATATATATTGAAAGGGGATTGTATGATTTCTATTGAAGCAAAACCATACAATATACATATATATATATATTATAGTTGAAGGAAATTAAAAAATTGGAATCAATTTTTATTATAATATTATAAATAATAATAAAATTTATATAGAAATTTGAATAATTCGAATTGAATATCTTAATTAGACTTAAAAAAATCAAGTTAAGTTCGAGTCATATAATACAATTCGTCAACTTAAATAATTTAAAAAAAAATATTCAACTCGATTGAATGCCTAAATAATCTATAAAAAAAGAAATCGATGCGCGTGCGATGCAAATATCAAAGAGACGCGTATGGTATGGGTGTTGTGAGCCGTGGTTTGTTTCACCTGATTACAAAATCCAAGCTTCTGCACTTTTTCTTCCGTTCACACGGTTTCTATTGTTTAACCCCAAAAGGAAAAAAATGCGTGTATTAGAATTAACCATGTTTTCAGTTGGTGGTGCAGTCGGCGGGCAATGAGCCATGGGTCTTCTCCGGCGACTCTTTGGCGCCAAGAAGCCCGCCCAACCCCGCCCCGAGAAAGACCGGAGGCGGTGGAGCTTTACCAGATCTTCTCATCCCACGTCTTCCATTTCTCATCTTGATGTTCTTTCTGGTTCATGCAATGACACATTGGATGCCAACAAGCACGCAATAGCAGTAGCAGCCGCCACTGCTGCTGTCGCCCAGGCTGCTCTGGCCGCAGCGCATGCTGCGGCTGAGGTCGTTAGGCTGACAAGTGGTAGTGGTGGTGTTGGCGGGACCAGTGGGAGCAACCGACGCCTCCCACAAGAAGTGGCAACTGTTAAGATACAGTCCGCTTTTCGAGGTTATCTGGTCAGTTTTTAATTTCTAAATTATATTTATTGCTCCTTGAATCCACCACTGTGATTACTGTCCATGAGATTTTCAATTTCCATGTCTTTCATGGCTAAGAAAACTTAGTTAATTTCATAAGTTTTAAACTGTAGTTGACAATTGATATGCTTTTGAGCTTTCTTTAACCTTTGAATAAATAAATAAAAAAACACTTTTTTGGGTATGCAAATTAGATTTTTAGATGTTAAATATGCTTAGAAGGTTGGATTGAGAGTGAATTGGGACCCAAAGCTTCAACTGAAAATGGTCTCATAAGAAGAAGAAAAAGAAAGAAAGAAACAATTACTTTTCTGAAACACTGCTTCAATGGCTTCAGTTTACGTAATAAGATTGAAGATGAGTTTGCTTTCTTTACTTTTCTTTATCTTCTGAGAAAGAAAAGAAAGTGAAATGATGGGAAGAAGATGAAGCTGTGGCATGTGAAACTTTGTACGACGTGTTTGTCTAAATTAATGCTTCTTTTTTTATGTTTCTGTCTTTCCCCTCTTTTCTCCTACTTATTTTAAAGGACAAGCAGTCAAAAGATTTGGAAGAATTCAGACCTGATTGGTTGTTCTGTAGAATTTTTTTTCAAAATTGGTCGCTTGCTTTCTGGAACATCTTTCACAAGTAACGTGAAGTTAGGTAACATTTCATTTTCACATGCTATCAGAATTAACATCAACTCCATCACTGATTATTAAATTTGCTCTAAAAGCTAGTTAGTTTGGGAAAAGTTGGTACATTTTACACCTTCATTTGTCTCTAGTTCCAAGCTTTTACTCAAACATGTGTTGGGTACATATGCCATGGTTTTTGTTAGTCTCTAATGGAAATGGTGCTCGATTCTTTTGACTTCTTCTGGCACATGGTCCAGGCACGGAGAGCACTGAGGGCATTGAAAGCGTTGGTGAAGCTTCAAGCACTGGTGAGAGGCCACATTGTGAGAAAGCAAACGGCAGACATGCTCAGACGCATGCAAACATTGGTCAGACTTCAAGCTCGAGCCCGTGCTAGTCGTGCTTATATGACGAAATCTTTTGATTCAAACTGCAAGATATCCCGTTCACAAAACGCTGTAAGCGGACCCCTACTCTAGTTTCTGTTTAGTGATGGTTTTAGTTTCCCTACCTATTCATTTATGAACATGATTCAGAAGGTTTTTGTTAGGTTAACAATATGTCGTTTCATATACTTGCCATAAGTTCACATTATTCCTAGCGCACTAATGGATTAAAATACTAAGCCGTAGTTGATATACAAGTTCTTATTGAGAATAGCTTATCTGTATGTTCACTCTGTTCATTTCCTACTTTTTCTACATGTATATACTTCCAGGTATATGAAATTCTGTAAAAGATGAATGTCAGCTTTGTGCTTGTAGTAGTAATTTTGATGTGCCTGCAATTCTAAAGGTATCCCGGAGATGAATTTACGTATATTATGTCTTATGTTCTTAACTTTTTGATTTTTAGGATATATTAGTTTCATGCACTAGTTTAAAGTTGTAGTCTTCCTGGATGCATTGAACCTTACCCAATATTGGATATTTGAATCAATCTTGAATTTTGCTTTTCTTTTTCATGCAGAGATGTGGTTCAAATTCAAATCTGATGGGCATCATCAATCTAGAGAAAGCACAGATGGGATCGAATTGGTTGCACCATTGGATGGAGGAAAGTTTAAGGAATAACCATAGAGATGTGCCGCCTAGACATTGGTATGTCGATGATGAGAAGAGTGACAAAATCCTTGAAGTAGATACTTGGAAACCTCACTTGAGCTCCCAGCAAAGTAACCAGAACTTTCGGGCATCTCAGCATAGCACAGCCTTTGATTATAACCAGAGCTTCATGGCAAACGACTCCCAGAGAAAAGTGCCAGGAAAAGGGATACCGAGTAACTTCTCAGCCGAAGTTTTATCTCTAAAGCATCATGGAAGGGAAGATGAAGCAATTTCAAGGACTGCTGATATTGACAACATCCCGCAAGTGCTTTCTGCATCATCCAGTAGACCCGGAAGTAATGCTAGGAGAAGCCCTTTTCCTAGGAGTGAATGCTCGTGGGGCTATTTAAGCGGATCTTGCGGTCATCCAAACTACATGGCGAATACAGAATCATCCCAAGCCAAGTACCGGTCTCAGAGTGCCCCAAGGCAGAGACTGGAGTTTGACAAGTATAGTTCAACCCGAAGAACTTTCCAGGGGTTGTGGGATTCAGGGGATAATTCGGAAAGCGACTTCGCTCAACATGTCGATTATAGGTACAGGCCTCATCCAACATTTGATGACTTGAATAAGTTTGCTAATGTCCACCAAGGGCGATGATCCCCTCTCCCAATTCCCCCTTACTACTTTCATTTCCTCGTGTAGCTGTGCTTGGCTTGTAATTATCCTTTACTGTCATATTTAACATTATTGATATCATGGCATGGCCATACTATCTGATATGTTTTCTTAGAATCATTGTGGTGGTTAAGTGTATGGGTTGTCGCCCACAATTAGTGAAGGTGAAAAGGACATGCCATCATTGCTTATTGGCTGTTTTAACTTGTTCAAGTCATGGATAATACGGGTTCACTTTAATCCAAGTTCAAATTAAAAAGCAAATGGTAGTGCGTTGCTTTTTGAATATTTATATTTTTAAGCCTAATCAATCTAGTTACAAGTTCATGAATGAATATAACAATGTTGATTGAAGGTGGAGCTAGTTAAGTGGTTAGAGGTAGAGTTATTCTCCCTTGAGGTTCAAGGTTTGAATAGTTGCATTTATAGCGAACACATACTTCTTCGAGGTTCTGGGTTTTAATAATTGTGTTTATAGGGTATGTTCGAGCAATTGCGACTCAAAGCACGAAATGAGTTTTCTTGTTTGATTAATTGTTTGCAACTTTTCACTATTAGGTGGCTCATTTATAATCTTACTAATATTTGGATGACTCGTTTGTAATCTCACTAATAATTAGATTACTTTCGGTGTAATTTACTTACAAGAAAAACATTAAAAAATGTTTCCGGGTGCCTTGTACGTTTGTAACAATCGATTGATTAAATGACTCTTTCGTAATATTTTGAAATTAGATAATCCATTTGTAATTTTACAAATAATTGACTTGTAATGTAATTGATCCAGTAATTATCCATTTTGTTAGAGCCGAAATTTTCAAATTTTTAGTCAAACCCTATAACGTCGGATATGAGATTTAAAATGCCCAAAATTCCAATTCTAGACGGATTTTGGCAGGACACTAATTAAGTTCCTCTGAAAATACAAAGTAAAAGTTGGGGTTTGAAGATTGAATGAGCTTTCATCATCATACACACACATGATGACAACTCTATGGTGAGATGTAAAATCAAGAACAATATCAGTCTTTTGATATTAAAAGAAAGCAAGAACATAAAAACACACCACTCTGGTTTAAGCATTTACAAATTATGCGTAAAAAACCACACAAAAATGAAAGCTATGCTGCTAGTTTTCATTGCAGTCCCTTTCTTGATGTCGGAACACAGCTCAAGTAATGACACCAATGGCAATGGTCGTTTCCATTTTCTCATCTAAACAACATCACCAATGCAACACTGAATCTGCAATTTAGTCAAATATCGAAACCGATCGGATCAGTAGGTTAAAACCGGCTTTCGGATCTTTTAAGATCATGATCATCTTAAAACCATAAGAGAGCATGAATGTGTTTACTAACCCTGAAACCAACAGCACCACTGAAACCACCCAAAGAACATATTGGTAAGGCTTGTACTTGGATTTCGATCTAATACCTGCGGGAAGATTCCGACGCTCTAACCACCAAAACTGAGGACGAGGTAGAAGAACGAAGCCGAGGAGGAAACCGGTTAAAAATCCACCTATGTGAGCGAAATTATCAACATGTGGCAAAATCCCTATTGCAAGGTTAATGACTATGATGACCATAAGAGTGAGCATAGCCATTGCCTGTGTGGAATATTAACAAGGTTAACATGCAATTTTTTCTGAAACATTGTATTGATAATGTACTGCAATATTCTACCTTGTTTGTGTATATGGTCCAATTGGTAACAAGTTCCGAGAGCATTGCGCCGAGAAGTCCGAAAAGAGCACCGGAGGTGCCAACGGAGATGTTATTTCGGATAAATAAAGAGGAGAGTACACTTCTACCAAATCCGGACTAAAGATAAAGAATTCTAATCCGCACTTCATCATATTTCAAATTTTTAAATCAGATCATTGCAACATCTCAGAATCTAAATTTCAGACAGTTCTATAGGTTCATAATACAATAAATTTGAAGCCGATGGAGAAGAGTACCAAACCCAAACTGTTGTTCGAGGCGAATACCAATGAAAACCAGGCTCAGCATGTTTACTAAAAGATGAATGACACCAGCATGCAAGTAATGAGCCTCCATCCTTGATGATTAACCACAACTTTGTTCCACTCGAGAGCTCCCAACTTCTTCAATCTGCAACAACAATGTCATTTAGCCTCTTTCAAAGGCCAGATAAGATCTGGTATTTACAAGAATTAGCATTCCAATCCTGGGATTTACAAGAATTAGCATTCCAATCAGTCCAACAACATCAAAATCTCCAACCAGTAGGGAAAAAAAGATAACACACGTGAATAAACATATCAAACCCTAATGATCCCAAAGAGAAAACAGAGCAAACATAAGGCAGTGAAGGGGAAAAAAGTGATAATTACGTAGAAGAAGAGGGACCAAAGAGAGGATTCACGTTGACAGGATCAAAAGAAAAGCGACCAAGAAAGGTGACCACACACTTGCCGACAAGCCTGGTGTGCTTGCGGTTGGGGTAATCGTTGAGATACATAACAACGATGAAAAGTGCGATATTAGCCACCACGAACATAGGCACCAACCACGATGTCCGCTGCGTCTCGGTATCCTCTATCAGGTAAGTTGAAGCATTGCTGGTGGTGGTGGTATTGCTGTTGTCATTGCTGTTCCTTTTCACCCCAACTCTGCTGCTGCTCTCCATAACTCTTCCAAAACCAAAAAACTGAAAGGTTGCTGTGAGTTTGGGGATGGTGAGGATTAAAGGGTTGAGAAAAGATGGGTTTTGATGGGGTGGTGAGGGGGTTTTATGAGATGAGAGCTACGGGGGAAGGAAGTGGGACAGTGGTGAGTTTGTTCAGGTCGAGTTTCAGGTTTCTAATTGCAGCAGTTAGCAGGTAAAGCGGGTAAACTCAGAAACCAATGGTGGATATGCACGTTTGATGACTGAAGTTTGGCCATTTAGGAGAAGAAAGGCGAGTGGTTTATGGAGCTTCGGTGGTCTATTTGCCAGCATACAGCTTTACCTTTTATAAAATATAATGTGGCTAAAACTCGTATTTAGTTGCTCAACTATTACATAAGTTTCGTTTAGATCACCATACAGTTAAAAAAACTAAATGTAATATATTACGTGAATTTTTTTTATTTGTTTCAATGATGATATGGCATGACCTTATGGAGACATATTAGTATCACTGTTAATTTTTTATTTAGTGGGTGACTAAAATGAAATCAAAATGTAACTTTAGGTATGTTTTTGAAAAAAATAATAGTTGAATGACCAAAATAGAACCAATGTGATAATTAAATGACTAAATACACAATTTAACCTATACATTTTCATTTATTTTTAGGATAAACTATGTATTTTGTCATCAACTATTTGAACAGGTCCATTTTGGTCACCCGATTGTTATTTTTTTTCAAAATTATAACTAACGTTACAATTTGGTTTCATTATGATCACTCATTGTTAAAAAAATTAACATAACTGCTTATGTATCATCATAAAATAATATCACGTCATCACTAAAAAAATAAAAAAATGTCATGTCAATAGTTTTATTAGTTTTTAAAAGGTGAATGATCAAAATGAAATCAGAATGTGATGTATGCTTTAAGGTCGTAATGTATGCTTTTGAAAAATAATTAGGTGACCGAAATGAAACCGTACGAATAGTTGGGCAGTTAAATAAGAGAAAATAACTTCAGTGACCAAAAATGCCTTATAATATATGATTTTAACCAACTTTTTTTGGATTTGTCAAAATGACCAACTAAATTGCAATGCGATCGATAATTCGCAACGCGATCTCCGGTATCGCAAATCAGTTTCCAGATTCGCAACGCGATTCTGACTATCGCATTGCGATTTTCCAAATTCGCGTTGCGATTTTCCTAATTCGCAATGTGAATACGTAAATCGCAACGCGAATTTGGAAAATCACAATGCGAATACGTAAATCGCAATGCGAATACGTAAATCGCAATGCGAATATGTAAATCGCAATGCGAATCTGACTATCGCAATGCGATTTACATAGCGCCATTCGTATCCAACGCGTATTTTTTTTTTCAAATTCCAAACACGAATATATTAATATATCGAAACACTGAACCGTCCACAGTATATCCCGTAATCACAACTCATAACCTAAAACCCTAAATCACAACTCAGTCTCATCTTCATCTCTCACTCTCTAAGGCGACATCCGTCCCCATCTCCGACGAAATCAGTCCCCATCTCCGACGATATCAGTATCCATCTCGGGCAAAATTATTCACGGTCAGAAATGGAAAATCAACCAAATCAACCACCGAGGGTTAGTTTTTTTAATTATTTTTATTTTGAAATTTTTGCATTATTATTAGGTTTTTCATATTGAAATTGATAATAAGTTTACTGGTGTTTTCAATAATAGATTAAACATTTCACTTAGATTGCTTATTATATTCATTCGATTGCTGCCAATACTGCTAAACTGTTTAGTCTTTAACCCTGTGAAGTTAGTATTTGTCTTTGTTTTGTCTTTCGGTTGAAGTAATGCAATCCATTCAAGTTTCTTTCAATTTTAGTATTTGAAACCGAGAATGACTATCGCAATGCGATTCTGTCGTTGCGATTTTCATTTCGCGTTGCGATTCTTGCGTTGCGATAGTCAAATTCGCGTTGCGATAGTCATTTTCGTGTTGCGATTTTCATTTTCGTGTTGCGATTTAAAGTTTCAGAAACTATTCTTCTTCTGCAAATTGAAACTTGAATGAATTGCATTACTTCAACCAAAAAACAAATACTAAATTCGCAGTGTTGCAAATTTAAGTTTGAAGAATAAACTACTACTCTTTATGTTTATTGTTCATATCTTCACAGTGTAGTTTTTGGTATATCTAAATTGGTATGTTTATTGTTTTTGCAGAACTTTTATTCGGCTCAATTGACCTTAAGAAATAAAATAAGCCTGGCCAAAACAATTGCGTCGAAGCTTTCACCTGCACAAAGAAAAATATTTGAGGATACTTGATTCGGGCCATGGCTGAAAGTACAACATCCGGGTGGAGATGCTATGTTGACCCATCTGTTTCTACAAACCATGACTAGCGATCTACCAGAGACTATACAACGTCGTGATGAAGAGATATGGTTTGATTTTCCATCGGCGTATACGTGTTTTGGGCGGGAGGAGTTTTGCTTAATCACCGGTCTACGCTTCGGACACGATGATGTAGATCGGTACACTAGACATATTA